TGGGTGTCACTCTGATAAGTCTCCTGTAGGCACAAGGCCACAGGACGGAGCTCATCAAGAAAAAAAATTTACGTCATCGATGTTACGAAAAAGGCCCCGACAATTACACTGCATAATGCTAAAATTGTGGACCATTGTAAAGTTTATAATAAAAAATAAAAATAACTGTCAAAAGTAAGCAAACTTTCTACGACTTAAAAGTCTATCTTTACAAGCGGAGCATTTTTCTTTTTAAAGGTGTCATTCGGCCTGCCCGTGGTGCCACCGGAGGCCGGAAGTAGAGATTCGGAACTCGAGTGAGGTCTGTCCTCGTCGGACCTTGACCCACTCTCGTCCATTGGCTCAGCTAGAGCCAAAAGGGGCACCTCCTTGGAGACCTGTAACCTCGACGGCTCCCCCAGTCTCTGAGATTCACCAGGGGCAGAGGGACCAAGTCCCCGACCTCACGATGACTGGGACGGAGGAGTAGGGGGTGCAGAACCCTGTGCAGGGAACGCAGACCCCTGTGCTCGGGCAGATCCCAACGGACCAGTATCCACCCTGTCATCTCGGGGTGGAGCAGTGTGCACTGCTCCAGAGGTAGCTTTCTTCTGCGACGGGGTGGCCCCCATCTGCTCGGTTCATGAATCCGACCGAGCCTTTCGCACGGTTGGGAAGGGCACCTTCCTGGGCAGCTGAGATAGCATGCCCTGGAAGTTGCACCTTTAGTTTGGGACCAGAGGACTTAAGTGGTTGTGCAAGGTCTCCATAAGCCACTTGCGTTCCCAGAGACGCTATAGGCGGTGCAGGTTCCCGGCGTACCACCTCTGCAAAAGAGCCTCTCTGGAAACCCAAGAGGCGACGCTTTGCTTCGGGATAGATGTTTTCTTTCATCTTCAGGGTCAGAATTTACTTTTCTCTTTTAAAGTGTTCACATGACCTAGAATATGCAGGGTGCTTGCCTTTACAATTTGCACATTTCACGTCTACATGACAGTTGTCGAGGTTGTGCTCACAGCTACCGCACCTGGCACATGTCTCACGGCCACGGCAGGACCGCGAGCCGTGCCCAAAACGCTGACAGCGGAAACATAATGACGATGATTGGGGTTTTATGGCGCAAGAGCAACTAAGGCCATATTGCACCAAACAAAGGTTTTTCCAAGGGGCTTAGAGGTGTAATCTAAAAGAACTGCAAGTTACAGCTGGTGCAAAAGGCCAGTGTTATGAAGGAACTTTAAAACTCGATCGAATGGTATAAATGGTTGATCGCCAAGCAGAAATATGGATGAAAGCGAAGGTGATCTCGAAAGAGCTTTGCAATGCCACAGGATGTGCAAAACAGTCATAGCTTTCCCACAGTTGTCGCAAAGTTTAACATCCTCACCACAGAGCAGGTGCAAATGAGTCAAACGGGTACGACCAATTCTTAAGCGGCAAAGGAGAACCTCTACCCGACGGACTTTATGGAACCAACTCTCCCATACTCCCAGTTGGGGCTTCATATTGTGAAGCTTGTTCTTTTTTTCCAAATCCCAATCCAACTGCCATGAGTTGATAATCGATTTCTGTATGATCGGTTTCAGGTCTTGGTCTGGCAGGCCAAGAGGCAGTTTGGGGCATTCTTTTGCAGAGGCAGCAAGCAAGTCTGCCTTCTCATTGCCACAAATGCCCACGTGGCTCGAGACCCAGCAGAATTTGATCTGGTGTCCTAGTTGAAGTGATCGGTTTAGTCGTACCCAAAGACATTGCACGAGAAGGTTCTTACTGTCTGCTAAGGACGAAACGATTAGAAGAACGCTCTGGGAGTCGACAAACAGAATTGCTGTCATAATATTGTTCTCTAATAAGTATTCAACAGCCATTAAAATACCATACAATTCAGGAGTAAAAACATTTGCATAAGTGTGGAGTTGTCGAACTTTCCTGAAGGTAGTGGAGTAAACCGCACACCCCACGAAGGTTGACGTTTTTGATCCGTCAGTGTAAAAGTGTGAGCAGTCCTTGTATTTCTGTTCCAATTCGGCGAACTCCCGCTGAAGAACGAGTGGAGAAGTAGCTCTGTTTCTGTACTTGGCCAGTGACCAGTCACAAGAGATTGGCAGAAGGTCCCAAGGCGCAACTCTCTCATTGCTCCTCAGCAAAGCAGCTTCACTAAAGGGGAGATGGAGCGATGTTGCCATGCTCTGTACTCTGAAACTCAGGGGCGGAACAATGCTGGGCTTGTTTTCATAGAGTCGGAACGATGTAAAAGGTTGAAGGGCGTCGAAAGTGGGATGTTGAGGATAGCTGTATGTCTTGTAAGCATAACAAAGACTCAAATATTGCCAGCATACAAGCTAAGTACAGGTGATGTTCGAAACGCTCCCGTGGCAAGTCTGAGCCCCAGATGATGGATGGGGTCCAACGTTTTAAGGGCAGACGGACGCGCTGAACCATAAACAATCGCGCCATAGTCCAGGCGGGACCGCACCAAGGAGTTATAAAGTCGCAAGAGGCACCGTCTGTCAGACCCCCAGGACGTATGCGACAGGACTTTGAGGATGTTTCATGAACGTAGGCATTTCTGTTTTCAACTCTTTCAAGTGGGGTATAAAAGTGAGCTTTTTATCAAATATTATCCCTAAAAACTTGTGTTCCTCCTTTACAGATATAGAAACGTCATTCAAGTGCAACACTGGATCTGGAGACAGGCCACGGAGGAGTGAAAAGGGAACGCAGACTGTCTTATCAGGAGATAACCTGAAGCCATTTTGATCAGCCCACTTGCTCACCTTATTGATTGTGAGCTGCGATTGCCGTTCACAGTTGGACAGGTTAAAGAGGAGAATTATATCTCCGCATCATCCAGATACATTGAATAGGATACAGATGGTGGTATAACCTTAGCCAAACTATTAATCTTCACGGCAAAAAGTGTAACGCTTAGTACTCCACCCTGAGGGACGCCGTTCTCCTGGAGAAAGACATCCAAAAGGATGGAGCCCAATCGCACTTGGAGGGTCGAACCCGTCAAGAAACTTTGAATACAACGAAGTATGCGACCTCGGACACCATACCCAGGCAAAAATGTAACCTCTGGTTCCAGCTGGAACCAGTTGGTTCCAACTGGAAGTAAGATGGTTCCAGTTGGAAACAGCTTGAAAAACAACGTTTCCAGCTGGAGTCGTCAAACTCCAGTTGGATCCAGTTGGAGTTGGAAACGGTCCAGCTGGAAAAGTACTGGATCCAGTTGGAGTTGGAAACATTCCAATTGGAAAAGTACTGAATCCAGTTGGAGTTGGAAACATTCCAACTGGAGTTCCCAAATTCCAGCTGGAGAAGTACTGACCCAGCTCGACCGTTTCAGCGGGGATATAAACAAATTTCGGTTGAAGGCCTCTGAAAACGTGGAGTTGCAGACACCATTCCAGTTAAAAAGTAGTCAGCTAGGGTACCAATGATTTACTATATCAGTCAAAAATGTTTACTGTAAACGACTTCATTTTCACAAATTGCCTACATTTCACGAAAAATAGGTCCCACAAACAATTCCGGTAAAATGTAAACACATTGGAATCTATATTGAGATCCTACCGGATCGCAAAATTGAGAAACCACGAATTATTCCAAAATGTCAGCTTTGATCTAAATTGCTAAATATTGAGCCCGTGAAAATTAAGTCGTTATGGTATGTAGAGAGGCTAAGGACAAATGGGAGTTTTCATAATAGGTTTCAATCCTGAAGTAGTAATCCAAACAAAAATAAAAGGTATTTTTGATTAAACAATTCATTTGTTCATCAAATAGGTCACAAATAAATAAAATCTTTATACAGATGGGAAGACTAAGGATGGCCGAGTTCAATGATTCATTCTTAGAAACAAAACTTTCGTCCCATATTATCTATCAGCAGTCTACTAGGATGGAGCTAACAATATAGTATATTATAGTCATATTTTAGACAATGGCAAAAAATGAACTTTTGCCAAGGGGCCCCAATTCTTTTTAACAACTACAAGTATAAATGATAAAGTATAATGGATATAAATACAAATATACACATCTCGAGCACAGCATACACGTGGTTATTCAAAAAAGTTCATGAAAATTTAACTTCAGGATAACATACCGAAGGCTAGTAAAGCATAATGCCGCGGGTGCAGGTTTGCTGCTGGTGAACACACCAAATCATGCGAGCTCGAAAACACAGGCGAAAAATCACATGTTCCTACAAAGCTATGGCTCTCCAAATCTGGCGTTGGCACCAAAATGTGTAGCACGTGACCTCCACTACAGAACAGTAGTACTGGCAGCTCTACACATGTTGCCTGCAGTTTACATTTGCTATTTTTCTAGGGCACTGGACACTTATTTTGACAGGCTACATGTCTTGCGTTTAAGAAAATGCCTATGCCGGTGATAACGCATGAACGCAAAAATGTGTAGAAAATAAAAGAACATGGGGCAAATAAATTTGACATTATTGCAGAGCTAGCTGTGGAAATTTTAAAATTTCATTGATTTCAACTTTGCTGGAATTTTAATGAGCATAAATGAAGCACATTCTAATCTTTGACAATTTATAAACATAAAATAAAGTGCATTGTAATCTTTGACTTGTATTATTTCTAAATTGTCTTTAAGATATTGTAAACGACCTCATTTTTTATAATGGATATTTCTCATATTTTGAGAACCCTAAGTGTCGGAAAGATTTTGCTATAGAGTATTGTATCCTATGTGTTCTTAACCGTGGGGCTATTTATTTGCATGGTAAATTAACTGCACATTTTTCCAAATCGCCAAGTTTACAAAAACTTAGGTCTTGACTAAGAGTAAGTCATTACATGCATTTGTTTATGGAAGTTGTACCAGTAGCTAGGAACAGCATGACAGGAAAATTATGACCATTCATATTGATTCACGAGATCACAGAAGTAGTTTTGTTGAAAGCCCATGAATATGCATGGACGTATGTGTTCATCAACTCTGAATTCTTTTCTGTGGACGTTGCACCACTTCTTTCAAGTGAGCAGGTGTCAGTGAAGACAACACCTTATACTCATTCGAGCATATGAAGAGCTGCACCTCACCGCTGTGGCTACGAGTAAAGAGATAATTCTGTCTATCACGCTATACGTTCCATCCCCTAGACGCACAGCTGCACAGCTTGTTTTCGTTGGCCTCTTGTATTTCTTGCTATGAAACACTTCATCGTTCACAACCATCCTCTCATACTCGCAAATCTGACTGCCTTCACAGCCAGTGCTGTTCTCAAAAAATAATCTGAGTGAAACTTCCACTCTTTTTGGTTTACCCAAAGGCCTGGTGCCTACATGCCGTGGCTGTTTCTTTGTAGAAAGAAGATCGTTGATGTCACCATTTGTTTTGCACATATCCAGTTTACTCTTCAGCAAAACTCGCGATGCAATCTGAATGGGCACTCCATTCGACGAAGTTACAAGCTTCAACAGCTTTCCTATGTTACTTTCAAAACTGAAACACGAGTGTGCCCAGAGGGGGCCAAACTGCACAACGCATTTTGGAAGGTGAAGGAGCAGATGTATGTTGTATGTCATTGCAACCTTTGTGTATAGGAACTGCATTTGAACAACAAACTGAACGAGAGTTTGAGTTGCTATAGCAATGTCTTCTGGCGTTACCTCGTCTTTCAGGAGATGAAATATGCGTGTCGCAAGCAGTGTCCAGTGTTCTAGAAATGCAGCAGGAAGTACATCCCGCAGACAAGGGAGACTGTAATAAAGCAGCCACTTCTGCCACTCTGCCGCCTTCCACAACTTCCTAAACATCAGGGACCTTGGAAGGCGGTTGAAACATTGTGGAGGCCGAATACAACAAAGTTTGCTGTCAATAAGAGCAAGCTTCTTTGGATCTCCAATGTAGTATGGTTCGCCAGGGCAGGAAAGCCATATCTCTGTGAGCTGCCTCGAGACACCCAGGAGTACGCAATGCATGTAATCTGGAGAGAACGACCAAACAATGTCAAAACCCTGCAAATTAATCAGTGGACACGGGCCCTTCACACCACGAACAATGGCATCGTTTTGTGCTGCTTTCCGCATGTCATCAAGCATATCTTCTTCTGTCCTGTCTGGAGATGGCCCAGCATCCACCGTGTACTTCACAGTCCCTGCAATGTAATAAAACTAAATGTTGCAATCGGATTAAACCGAATTGGGCGGTTTCTCCCTGACACACATCCCGCTCAAAATCTCACCGGACTCCATGCTGACGCACCCTCACGCTATACATTTCAATCGGTGGATTCACTTTGTTAAGATTTCATGAGATCTTTTACACTGTGATGGACCACGTCAGCCGGTGCGGTCAGGGACACTAAGGAGCACTGGCTGGTATTCGAGTCTTATATGGGCCAGTCGTTAATTAAAGATAAGATGAGACGGCGCTTGAATAAACATCTCGATTGTGGCAAAATAGCCCCAGCAGGTACAACCGAGTCATCTTCGATGAGAGACAGAACCATGCAAGCATGGGCTCAAGTCATGCAAACATGGCGCTGTATGCTTCTAAGATTTATGAACACTGAAAACAATACTGGCAAAGAATCGCTTACATGCAAATGAATAAGAAATATGGCAAAAGAAATTGGCCAGTACAATTGGAAAGTATGTTTCGAAAGCAAAATGGTGCTTTGTGAAATGACCCTATACACCAACTCGTGTTTACAAACAGACCGGAGCGCCCCTAGCTGACGCCACCGGCGCCTTGCATGCGCGATGGAGTGTGAGCAAGAACCTTGCTGTCGCCCATAAACAAACCATTGAAATGGGATGTCGTCGGTGTCAGTGTGAGTCCCCCTGCCGTTTTTCACCTTCGAATTGTTCATTCTACGTCTTCCTGGCAATGTTTGACTACTTGAGTGGCCTCATCGAAATTACCGACGCTCGTTACACCGCAAAACTTAGTGTGAATAATGTGACATGCGGCGATTCATTCAGCGTGGACGCCGCAGAATGCACGTTAAAGCCTGATTCGCTTGATATTTCGCTCGCAATTTTCAGTCGCGACGTCACTCGGGCTGCCAAAGCGTGAACCGTAACAAAGATGCTCAACGTGAAAATCGCAAGCAGAATGTGACCAAGTGAATCGAGCATAACAAGTCGGTGATGGCCACTGGTAACAATAATCAACATCTCCTTGCATCTACTGATTATATCCAGCCTGCTTACCAACCTTCAAATTTAAGTCTTTTGAGGCCTGCACTTACTTTTTATCGCAAGTACCATGCCAACATTTGGTCTACGGGCCTGCGTCGTCTAAGAGAGCAGATGACAAGCAAAAACGTTTGAAAAAGCAGACGACAGTTCGAACGATCAGCTGGCCGTTAGACATTGAAGACGCACTGAACGTAGTTCACAGGTGGTCCGCACAACTTGACGGTTTTCTGGCGTTCATGTTGGAACAAAACAAATAAATGTGATGACCAAAAGTATCCGTGAATTCAACCCAAAGTGCTCCCCGCCCAAGCAATCGTTTTCCAACGGCATCTGCTTTTCACTTTTCACGGCACATATCCAGATTCTCGGACGAACCGAACACGTGAAAACTGACCTTCAAGCCTTTCTCGACTTTCGGTACACCCAGTTGCGGCGTTTTGACGAAAAGGCAGGTTTTTGTCTAATTCCTTTCAAAACAGTGCAGGGATACGCGTTCACATGGGGACTTCCACTCACAGCCCTAGACTGGAAGTGCGCCCGACGCGCCACCACCGCCCCGTGGCGTCGTAACAGAGTTGAGTTTGTGTATAGAAATTTGGAATTTCCATTAAATCTGATAGCGTATGCATGAGATGTTATAAAACTTTAGCAGGTGGCGAACTTCACAAGTTTACATTGCAGTCAATTGCCCCACTGTCATAAAGTAATTTCCTCACCTTCGACCAACTCTCCTGGGTGGTAGCACCAGCTGCAACCAAAATATCCATTGTACTGCCGTACATTCTGCATGGAAGCCCTGGCTGGTGCATCAGCGCAGCAACAAAGACAAAACACCTGTTTGGGAAGAAATGTCAAACATTTAATGGCCTCATTCACTCAAAGCTCCATTGCATATAAAACTGTGACAGCATAAAAATGAAGTAGAAGCTAAGTCCAGTGTGCACTCATTGCCTTCCACTGTGCTTAGGTTTTGTGTACATACCAGCGTCATCAAGATTAGAAACATTGTGCTGAACTCTGAACTTTTGTCTTTTTTAAACTGACACTGATCATGGCCAAATGGCAGTCATTGAAAAATTGTTTTAAGTTTTTTAAGCAAATGTAAGAAAGAATGAAATAGATATTTTTCGTAGAACTTTGACAGTATTATGCCATAATTATAAAAGTTGGAAGCTTTATGAGGAATTCAGGTTTTTAAGTATATATGCATATTAAGAGCAAGTTTATAAAGCATTTTTATATATCAAATCCGAATAATGGCTGAAAGGAGGAAGGCAAATATAGTTTTATAACTCAGGAAGACATGTTATTAAAATATAATATGGAATGCCCTTTCAGATATATCTCCTGTCTTTATTATGGCTTAAATCGTTATATTTTATTTTGGAATATATCATAATTCTTTACCTTGGAGTGCATACGTTCTTCATCTGCTTTCCAGGCAAGTCCATTCTTGTTGAGATTGTCCAGCTGGTCCGAGAATGCCTTCAGCAAGAGTGTAATGCTAGGACGGGATTTTCCATACCATAACAGAGGCATCACCACATTACTCCAGCGCAAGAGGGGTGGAAGTTCGTTGATAGTTAGTTGCACTGGCCAGATGGAGTATTTCGAAGACTTAAACATTGGACTTCCGTCCGAGTTCACACTCACAGTGAGGTCCATAGACGACATCTGGAGCTGCTGTCGTTTTTCTCGGTATAGCTCATCATTCGTGATGTCAGTCAGTGTGCTGTGCTCACCATCCCTTTGTGCAGCTATGGTTCTCAAGTTGTTTTGGAGTGCTAAAGTTATTGAGGTACTTGAAAGCAAAGACTTCAATTGATCTTTTAATGGCAAGGAAACAAAGAAGCAACCTTCTCGCATGAGTTCTTGACCAGTATATCTTTTCAAGCAGAGTGAGCACTGGGCATCCACATTTCTTCTTTCTTCAATGTCACCAGACGTTTGTCCGATGTGATTCATGCAGCTCTGGCAGTAGAAATGGAAGATCATTGCTGAAGAGCTCACTCCGAAAAATTTTGTGAAGAGATACTTGCTTTCAGGAAGCACCTTCTGTTGTACGAGCTTGTTTATCAGCTGCTGCAAATCAACGACCTCTGACCAGTTCATGCCTGTTCGAAGCACATGATCAAGTATCATTATGCATGCATCACCTACGCTGAGTGTGCCAGAGTCTAGAAACGGTGTACTAAATTCTGCCTGAGAGAAAAATAAATCTTCAGCGTCGGCTCCTTCGCAACTTTGCTGCTGCTCATTGCAAGCCCCGATTTCGCAAGAGTCTTGTACGGCCGTGTTCTCGAGCTCATGTTCGACTGCACTGGCTTCGTGCACAGTTGCGTTTTCCTCCTCGTCTTCAACAGAGTTTCTATCCAGAGCCGACACAGGCGGCGAAGTTGACACAGGGGGCGAAGTCGGCAGAGGCTCTGTTCCGGGCCTACGCGTAGCGTCTTCCTCACCACGCAAATACGATGCAGTCCCTCTCGGGACACAGCTCGTAGAGCCGGGCTCCATGTACTGCTTGCGTCGACGCTTACGACGTGGAGGCATCTCTAGAAGGCTGCAGCAAGCGTAGTCCACACAAAAGAAACAATCTGCACGCGTACCACAACCGCCGCGACCAGCGCGCAAACTTTCGGATTGGATTGTAGTCTGGCTTATGAACCAGACTAGCCGCTATGCACATGTTTATGTCGTGCCGGTTTGTTTTCATAGTTATGGTGATTATAGCTCGGAACAAACAAAAAAACATACAAATAGTTTTGTAATAACAGTTAAACATATCAAGCGCCTAACTTCCCGTGTTTTATGCTTCATGCTCTTTCGTTTCTTAAACTTCCCGCCAGGTGTCGCAAGCTAGCCAAAACTAGAAATCAATCCAATCCATTATTGAACTGCCTGGATGGCTTGTCTCGGCGATCTTGTATTGTGACATCCGTGTGGCACGCTTTTGTTTTTGCTTCATTCCTCTACCGCGTTCCTTAATTATATTAAATTTTCATCAGTTCCATATAGTATTCTGAAGCTGTTTCAATTTCGAGACGCACTGTTAGTGTGACATGTATGCCCTTGTTCGTTTTGTGACGGATGACGACAACCATCAGAAGCATGTGGTTCCTGTGTCCGACGTCTACGATTTCCATCCACAGAACTGCACAGACTTCGATAAAAAAACGACATATAAGTGCTTCTGGAGTGATCCAGTGGATGACCTAAACACCGGTCATTACACCATACAAATACTGCTACTAGCAGGTAAGAATTTTAGAACAATAGTTGCATAATGTGTACATTGAAAAGAGAGCACATGCGAGTGCTAGACATTGTGAGGTCGGTCCGCCTCTAAGAAATAGACGTCACATGTTCACATTGCAGTTAGATTCTTAAGCCAATGCAGTACTGCTAACTTGTAGTCTTAGTGCCCACACAGTAGCGATACGCGAACGCACGTCGATACGATGCTTAACCCGATCGTTGCATTTGGCTAAGAGCGATGCTATATGCACTACGTAGTGCACTTTGGGCGGAAATCGCTATACGGACTACGCGGAGAGCTCATGCCACTCGGGCCACCCTTTTTCGAACTGCGCGTGTATCACTGGGAAGCTCGTTAACACAGCCCCCCGCCTGCGTTCACGCCGCTTTGCGGCGACAGTATGCGGCTGCTAATTAGAAAAGTTAACCAGTACACGCCGCTTCGCGGCGTCCAGCCGGCAACCCAAGCCCCGCTAGTGTTCATCGCAAAAAAAAAAATTTAAATATCGCCAAATGCCTCAAAAAAACGTTAAAGAAAAAAAATTTTTTTTTCGATTCGAACCCGCGTTTACTTGTGTACGAAGCAGACACCTTAACCCCTATGCTATGCCACCTTTTTTTTTTTTTTA